AGAGAACCGCGATGACGGTGAATGCAACTTTGCCAGCGACCACACTTACTTGAGTGAGTAGTGGTCCTTTTAATTCTCGCATCTTCATTAAATTTTATGCTAGTGCCAGTAATGTTTGTGTCATTGGCTTATGCTAACAAAATGAAAGGATGAAACAAATATGGGCAAAGATAGACATGCAGGCTTTGTTCCGTACTTATTCTATTTTCATTTTGTTATATTAAACACGCTCGTCAAAATGACCAGGGTGTCTGCAGTGACGGTTTCATACTTTCAGGTCAAGAGAACCGCAGAGAGAATATGGGGTGGGAGCACGCCGACGTGCTTCTTTTGATCTCGAGCACCAAGTGGACTTCCATGATAGAAAGAAGAAAAGAAAAGACATCTCGGCAGAAAATCAGTGATGACATGGCTACACACGGCCACTTAAGGACAGCGGCCGACTGCCAGACGAAGTTTTTTAGGCCTAAGAAGAACACACAACAAGCATCGCCAACACAAGAAAAGAACTGGCGGAGACGGGAAGGGTTGGCCTTTCTATAAGGAGATGGACGATTTGTTGTCGTCAAGTGCGGAGTACCGGGCCCCTGTTCTTCCAAGCCATGCTGCGCAACCTTCTACCTCAAGCGCAGCTGTTGCTTGCGTCTTCACCGTGCAATGCACAGATTCAGTCGACTTGAAGCGCACGTTTTATTGAAGAGGACAGTGTAGGTGCTGCTGAAGGTGATCTGCCCCAAGAACGATGTGTATTAAATGCGAGAGCTGCTAAACAGCGCAGAAGACCGATAACGGTATTGCAAAATATCTTTGAAAACATGCAGGCCTGGCAAGATGAAGAGCGACAGAGATACACGCAGCAACTAAAGATTCAACGAGCCAAGCTGCGGATGCTTAAAAGCCTGACAGAGAGTTTGGTGTAGTGGCTGCAGTGCAGAAAATTGCTCTCTGCAATGAAGTAGCAAGGTGTGTGGTGTGTTCAGTGATGAAAAATAATGGAAGTTGTGACAAAAGACTGCTACATGAACAGAACTTCTGGCTCTTTATTGTTGTACTTGTATATTTTTTTACCTTGCATTTCGTTTTTGGGCAAAATTTTAAATTCCTTTTTTTTAACTGGATGTTAAAGTGGCACTTTTAAGAACGGCTTTTGTAGCTTTCTGAGCAGGAAACTTGGTATTGTCACGCTCAAGAACAGCGCTATTACTGTAGGGTTACTTGTGGACTTTCAGGGAGCTGCCAAAAAGTAGTTGAAGGCATATAAGCGTTTAAGACTAGTTCATGCATGCACGTCGTGTACGACCGAGTGGGACTGCGATGCTTGCATCAGACTTTTCAAGCTGGCGGTGTCTGTGAATTTATGCCAACAGCAGCGTAAGCAATGCACCGACTGTTTCCAAATGCAGGGGAGGCATCTGCGATCGTATCTGCGCCTCCCCTTTCAGTATGAAACAGTCAGTGCCTTGCTAACACTGCCATTGGCTCAACGTCGAAGACGCCGTCGGCTTGGAAACTCGCAAGTGGTCGCAATTTCACTCGGTCGTACTTGACGCATGTGTGAACCAGCTTAATTGCACAGCATAAATCAAAATTTCCTGAAGTGTTGCCTGTTTGGCTTTTTCACTTTATTAGTGCTAAAATCTCAGTTACTAGAATTTAGGGATGCCGCGAACCACCCTAGGTTCGAAATAGAAAGGTTTCGATATTTTCGAACCGAACTGATATTCGATTTCGAAAAGTTTCGATATTTTCGACCGTAGGGAGGTTCGAAATTGAAAAATTCGCAACTTTCCAAAATCGTGGGGTTTCGAATTCGAAAAGTTCGAAGCTTTCACGGTTTCTAAAAGTTCGGGTTCGATTATTTCGAATATTTGTTTACTTGAGGTTCGATAAATTCGAAGATTTCGAACTTCCTAATTTGAAAATTCGAGAGAATCGAATGTTTCGATTTTCTTTGGATCTAAAATTCGAAAATTTCGAACGTTTCGAATTTTTAAAGACCTAAAGGTCGATAAATTCGAAGATTTAGAATTTATTTTTATGTAAAGGTCGAAAAGTTCGACGTTTTCGATTCTCTTTTAAAACTAAATAAAAAAAAAACAAAAAAACTTGGAAGGTTTTTGATTACTTTGAAGCCCAGGTGCGCAAAGTTCGAAGTCCGGTTTTCATGTTCCGCCACAGTTTCTGTTTCAAATAACGTTTTCACGCCTCGCTGGTTTTCACGAAATCAGGTCTAGAAAAGTTCGGGTGTGATATTTAGACTGCGCGAAGTTGGTCAGGCAATTAAATGAGACGACGAGTGCCCCGGATGTGCTGGAATATTTGCCAGTGCAGTGAAGTGTAACAATAGATCAGTAATTGTGACCGCCAGCCCGGGGTGGTCATTAACGTGCATTACGAAGTAGTGATCCTACGAACGCACTGTTTAACGATACTCATCCAGTTTGAAACGCTCAGAGGCAGGCAGGTGGTTGAAGTTAGAAAAACCTTGAAGTGATCTGGCAAACTGCCCCCCTACCCCCTTGCACGCTGGTAGTAATCCGATATCGAACGCCGCCCGAGTGACGCTGGCATATAGTAAGTTTAGTTTGTACATGATGCAAAATCCTGAGACTGGGAATGAAATTTGAAAGAAAAAGTGGAACAAGACAGAAAAAAAGGGGACAGGACAACGTCTTAAACTCAACTCAGCTGAAAAGTCAGCTCAAGAGAACGTCTCAAACTCAACTCAGCTGAGTTTTAGACGTTGTCCTGTCCCTTTTTTTTTTCTTTCTTCTTACACTATTTCTTGACAATTCATTCCCAGTCTCGGGATTTTGCATCATGATCAACATACACCAGCTCGCCTGCACCTTGACAATTTTTTTGTTTGTAATTGGTTTGGAGGTTTATTTTTTGGGGCGGAAGAAACGCCGAGCAAAAAGCACAGAAGCTGACGCAATTTGAGGTCGAGGAGCGTTCTACCACACCAGTGGCGTCGGAAGAGGAAAAACGGGGGGGGGGGGGGGGGGGGGGGGGGCTCCAGTCTCTCGCCCCCCCTTCCCAGATATTTCGGACTGTTAAAGAAAACAATACGGGGAAAGAGGGCATGGTCGAGCTTATTTTAATCTGAAATTATTTATGCATAGGTATAGCTACTGCCGCTCTTCACTGCATAAAATATCGCGTAGATGGTAATTGTTAAGGCCGGTTCTCAGATGCAGCGAAGCGCTGATGTAACGCTGCTCACGTTCCATCAGGTACTTATCGTATGCCATGAGCAACAGTTTTGACGGTGCGATACAAAGCTGGTGAACGCTCCCGTCGGCACGTGCTTAGCACGAGGTCAGCGCTATGCTTGTAGCGCCCCGCTGCATGTGTGAACAGGTTTTTAGAAACTCGTTGTCAGGAGGCACTACTCCTCACATGCTCGGTGGCTCGAAAGTTCAAAGCTATGTCTTTTCGACCTAAATAACTGTGCCATTGGTAAAAAATAATCAATAAATAAACATAACAATAAATGCGAAAATAAAAAGCTGGAGAAAAAAAACTATCAAGAACCCACCGAAAGTGTTGTATTCTTGCATATTCAGAGGCCCAAAACTATGAAACAAGTTTCTCCTACCAAAATGTGTAAGGCCAAAAGAAACACGTCCCAAAAACGTAAAATGAGAAAAAAAATTATGACGCGCTGAACTTGAACAATTTTAGAAATCTTCCCCCATGAGTTAATTTATTCCTCAACGTGAAAAAACAATAAATACATTCATTTGTATTCTGGAGATGGTAGTGATATGTGCTGTCTCTGGTGTTAATTTAAATGCGATACCCAAACAATGTAGGCGAAAAAAATTACCAAGTTTAGGGCATCATTGTCCGTAGGTACATGTTTGGATATTTATTCAAAACTCGTCTTGAACAACAATAATTACATCTTAAGACGACACTCACCTAGGCTATATATAGATCGTTCTTAAAAAAGTTTAACATCTCTACCATAAATAGCTTCGGCTATAGCGCGCTTCCAATATGGCTCAAATGACAATTGTCAAAAACCCGTCGTCTAAGCTTCCTCGCTCCTTCGGGGATCTATTTTTCTAAAACCAAGCATGCGAGATGATTTAAATAAACGGCATTGTTTTTCGCAAGGAATGCGGCATCCCATATAAATTGCGAAAAAAAAAAAATTACGATGTACCTCACTGCTTGAATCCAAATGAAAACAGCCCGCCGGTCTTTCGAAGGTCGACGAACTTCGAACTTTTACCCTAAAAGTTCGAAGTTCGTCGAACTTTTGACTTTTCAGTCATCGAGAGTTCGACAATTTTCGAATTCGTTAGATTAATAAATTCGAAAGTTCGAAAATTAACGAATTTCTTAGCGTAGGAAGTTCGAAAAGCTTCGAACTTTTTAGTGCACGAAGTTCGAAAGTTCGAAAATCGTCGAAGTTTTTAGTCTATCAAGGTCGAAAGTCGACAAGCATCGAATTTTGCAACGTAATAAGTTCGAAAATTCGAAAAGCGTCGAACTTCTTGGTTTAATAAGTTAGAAAATTCGACTTCCGTCAAATTTCTCAATATGAAAAGTTCGAAAATTCGAAATCTTTCGAACCTTTCGAACCGCTTGAATCGATCATCGAACTTCGATTGGAAAAAAGTTCGCGGCATCCCTACTAGAATTAGCATTCGCTAAGTGTAGTAGCCAAGATCTTTTTGTGTAGTCATTTAGACAGATCCGGAATCTTGCTTTTGTTCTCTGCCTATGTTTGTACTAGTCAAAAAGACAACTTTATTGAAGTCAAAGTATGGCCCTTTTCATTGCCTTGTAAGCATTAATTTAAGTACTTTTGCAGCTGCCAAACTCGACAAAAATGTCTTGGCCTGTAAGCATACTGCCATGTCTTTCTCAGTTCACATTGTTTGGTAACCATTCATTTACACAACGAGAGCATTGTTTTACAAATGATTTTATTTTTGTCACATAGAACCTTGTTGTTTCGAAGTATTCATTGAATAAATAAAATTTCTGAAAGTGAGTTTCTCACGGGGACACCGATAGCATCAAGCCCTACAGGAAGCTACTGCATGTATAGAAAGTTCGCTATTGCATTCTGCTTTTCCAATGCCCTGCTGTCTGCAGTGTGTGTCTGGTCATCATCACCAGATGAATCGTCGTCGTCTCTGAATTTCTACGACGAACGGCTCCTTAGACTGCAGAATAATGTTGTGGAGAACGCAGGATACCAAGACATACTTGCTCATCATCTCTGTAGCTTTCATATCGAGATATTTTAGCCTTCTGGATTTTCCTTTCAACTGAGCGAAGGCTCGCTCAATGACGGATCTTGCCGCACTCAGAGTCTCATTATAGGTAACTTGTTCTTCAGACAAGTGACCATTGTTTCTGTAGGGTTCTTGATTTCCAAGCAGCCACAGTGTCACGAGGACGTTTGTTGCAACTGGAATGCGTGGAGTCGTCTGCGTGACCATTTGCTGTTGTGGGATCTTCAAAAGGACCTGCGAACAAACCGTATGGTATGGTGGATCAACGCAGCCACTAGAGGTTCGGCTGCTGAGGCACATGTAATCAGCTAAGAAAATGGGTACTCGCGAGCAATTTAATGGAACGCTGCTAAAAGATTTTAATTGACAAGTTGCATGACCAAATCTTTTGCAGTAAAACCCTGCCAAGCACAAGTAGGTGTGACGGAAAATCCTTTGTGCTTCCGCAAGAAACAGATGCACAGTATACAGCGATGATATTTTAATTACTACTGTTGAATTGTCATTGTCCAATTTACTTTTGAATACTGTTTGCCCAAAACTAACAAGCGAACTTCCAAAGACGTGAGAAGCCAAATTATTTACTTCAAACGTGCTGCGATTCATCCTGAAGTGTTCTTTAAATTGCTGCGGTAGCGAGGTACGATCTTCGAGGTATAATCCTCGATTCCACGAAACCTCCCTCGTCGGGCTCTCTGCAGGCTGCATATTAGAAACAGCGGTCATTCTTTAAGGCTTATGGGAATTCAGAAGAGGTTCGGCGTACTTCTAATCACCGCGCTTACATCGCGCAGCACATATTCAAGCTCTTGCTGTTGCCGCCGTCTCCTCGCACCTTCTGCGTCGAAATCGTCGTCTAACAAAAATTCGATGAGCTTCGACGTGACGGGAGCCATGTTTAAGTAAGCGCGCGTTGGAAAGCCGGAAGCGGAAACGTTAAAAATAGGCGTCAGATGGCGCCTCGGTACCATTAACCTACGCTCCGAACCCGCGCCGCCCGCGCGCTCGAGCGTAGATGCCCGGAGTCTTCAGCTTCCTAACTTAACACGCCCAATCTTCGCTTAAAGCTCCGGACAGCGGCCGAGCGGCCGAGCTCGCATCCTCTGCGGCAGGGGCAGTTTACGCGACTCTCAAGCGCAACTCGGCGGAGCGTTAACCCCCCCCCCCCCCCCCCCCCCCCCTCTCCTCCCCTGTTGTTTGTTGTGCCACCCACACGTACGGAAATTTGTGCAGCATAGCACACCTATGCACCGACCAATTTATTTGTTTACAGCGAAGCTGTGTATGGCTCGTTGGTTGGGTTTTTCGCGTTCGTTGACAGAACGGTAGTCGACAGAATAGTCGACTACCGTTCGACACATCCTCCTCTGGGAAACACGAACGCTGACCCCTTCACAACGGCTTTGTTATCTAGGAAGTGTTGTGCGGCGCCTCCTCCTCTCTGGCTCCGCGCCAGCTGTGCGCTTGACTTTGCCGAAAACGAAAGGGCTCGTTTTTACGAAAGCCCGGCCGTGTCTGTCAGTTTGTCAGCGCCGGGGAGAAAGACAGAGGCTGACGCGTGCTCACGCCGGCGCTTCGGGCCATTGGGAGAGTCGCACGCGATGACTGAAAAACGAAAGACACCGCAGGGTTTTTGTCAAAACGAACGTTCTAATGCTAAAGCATTAAAAAACATGCTGACACCTTCGACGTTACCCTACGTTTTTCAAGTGCTGTTCATATGCTGTATCTCAGGTTACAGTCAGGGAAGTATAAATATTTGTTTTACAGGCAATGTAGAAGTACTTCAGAAGCCGGGTGAACATATTAAAAGAGCAATCAGAAAATTTACTCGTCTTGACAAAAGAAACACTGGCCATTAAACGTTTCACCTCCAATCCAAGAGGTATCGTCGATACACCAAATAGCAAGATTGCTTTTAGCTGTGCTAACAATGCCTCGCGCACGGCAGGTTGGTAAAATGAATGCGCTAAAAGTATACTAATTTTGTTCTTGTATAAAAAAACATTGCGATATATTTCTAGTTGAGTAATTGTATATTTAACATACACCTTTAGCTAGTATTTAAAGTGCCACACATATGAAGGACCCGTCTGCGTAGCCAGTTTATGCGATGACTCGAGCATACTTTGACCAGACGAACTTTAGTTTTGGAAAAAGGATAGAACAAAGGTTCATCTATATCCTCACTCCAATACGCGTAAACATGGCCAAGTGTAATTAGGCCTAGCCGCCTGAAACTGCCTCGCCGAACGGGCGTTTCATAATGTTGGAGACTTTAGACCTTTTGTTGCAAGACCGGGTCGACAAGTGGACAGCATGCATGGCTAAAGTAAAGAGGAAACTTAGAGTCTAATAAAAGTGAACTTCCAATATTGAAAAGGTATTAAAAGAGTAGGTCAAGCGTACTTTTTATGTCATAAAAGGAAAAATTAGTATATTTAATTAGTATTGTTTATTTTACAAAAGAAAAACTTTGAATTAATCTTCATAATCTAAACACTAAGACTGTGCTAAGACACGTTTGTTCCCTAACCAGCACGCCTGCCAACTTTTTTTTTTTGGTGATTAAACAATTATTGTAGTGTCCAGCCGTATTTATCATTACTTTTATCACTGAGCAGTTGCCAATGGTGTTATGAAAGGTCGCTGAAGCTACTAATTTTAGCACAATGCAATACAAACGGAAGTGCACGCCTGTAGTAACATCACTCGGGGACAAAAAAGAATTTACTGAAACTATATTAATGACGATGTTGTTTAAACTGGCTTTATTACAGGAACTGGACATCAGTCAGCCGGCTGTGGGCCTTGCTGAGAAAAAAGGACGTAAATTTTACGCACCCGTATTAAGAGAAAGTAGTAATTTTAAATAGGATTTTATTATACTCTATATTCGTCTGAACTCTTATTAAGCTGTACAGCGTACATTTAGTAGACTTCGAATAAACATCTCGTTTGATGAAAGTGCGTAACAATATATTGTCTGTACTCCCTCTCACAATAAGTCCGAGCGCTGTCGATACTACGGTTCGACGGAGACAATCAAACGCTGCCAAAAACGCAACGTCACGCCACCCGTTTTCTTTCGGTAGCTGTGGTACCACTGAATAAATAAATCAGGCATTATGAGTGCCCCGTGATCAAATACATTAAGACTCTCGCCATATTATTAATTGAATTATTAATTGAACATTGTCACGACTAGCATTCCCATTCTTAGTCCCCTGTTTCATGTCTGTACGTGGCGCTTTGTGCCCTCTGGCAAACTGTTGCACATTATTATAGCAATAGTTTTTATAATTTTCATTAGTGTTTTACACTGCGCGATTGGCGCCACTGTTCTCATGCGCTTAGATTTATGAAAGTTGAGTTTTCCACGTCACGTGTGTTGTGTACTGTCGTAATCAGCTCAATATTATATTTCAATCTGATGTATATGTATTCATTCACCTCATGGTTTTTAATACTTAAACATTCATTTTGGTGTTTAAATGCTTATCTTGGTTTATTTGCTTACTTTTCCTTCTATTACACTTACTTTTTTTTTTTCTGGCCCTCGAGACTGCAACACACGGCTGATTCGGCCCTTTAGCCAAAAAGTCTGGCAACCCCTGGCCAATATCATCATCACCGCGACGACGGAACACGCCGATCCCTTAATGCTAGCGTTTCAAACAGTTATTTGGAAGGAGATACCACTTTTTGAATGCGGAAATTCATAATTATAACCATTGTCTTCTTGAAGGATAATATTTCATATTAGTGCTCTCCACGCTCTTTGATGGGAACGTTAAATTTATTCAGGTGATCTCAAAAACCCTCCGGGTTGTTTCACTGAACAAAACCTTTGGGGAGCTCTCGATGTGCGTTACAATGGCTGCAACCGAGGCTTTCATAGCTCTTTTGAGTAGTTTTAATTGTGGATGTCAGGTGTCTTCCTTTGTTCGAGTGCGACCAGGTGCCACTTTTTCGAACATTTGACGCAATGGTTCGACTGAAGTTCGTCTCTTATGCGCATGCTCAGAAATAGAGAACAAGCGGAGGGCTCTGCTCGGAGTAGCATGACAATTAAACGGAATAGATATAAATAAAATAATGCACTTCCGTTATAATGCGTTCAATTGGCATTTATTTCCTAAGATTTAAGTTAAACTGCGTTACGAACTATGAAAACAATTCTGGAATAAAATTTCGTAAGCTCGGCGAACTATTCGAACTTTAAGGTCTAAGAAAGTTCGTGACACCCCTAGATTATACAACATTCCCCTTTATACTTTCTTTATTGTAAGACCCCAGTCATTTCTTCGTCTGGATATTCATATTTAGCTAGTGGTATCTGCTGCCCCAATAACGAAGGTCTGCAGCTGCGATTCACTGCGTAAAACACAGCTCATCGAAGTGGTAAGTCGTAAACACAAAGACATTCTCTTTAGATCCACCATGCTTACGGTACATAGTTTGTAAAAAAAGATTGAAGATTTTTTAAGCATTTGTCCTGAGTAGTGAACAATCTAGGTCATTTAATATTTTTATATTAATAAACGAGAGCCTCTTGATAAAAACAAAAAGGTCGCTGAGCGGTCAGAACATTACTCAACACAACTACAGGGAACAAAACAAAGGTGAAACAATAATCAATCGCAGATTTTCTGGCTTTTTAGAAAGGAATTTTTTTTATATTAAAAAACATTTCAATCAAATATTGCCGTGGAAGAGCGTCATTGCACAGGTTTGATTGAATTGTGATGAAGGCAACTTCAAATTCGTTTTCTCCTAAAATGCTTACGTGTTCGGTTTATAGAACTTGCGCGAGCAAGCTATCAACGGGCGCCAACCTTTGCAGGGACGAATTAGAGTAATTTTGCGGATATCTACAGCTTAAGCGATTTTAGACGAATGTACAAAGTTAAAAAAGTAACGAAGAAATAACTGCATTCCAACTGTCCCTTAACAAATTTTTGTTTCTCTCCGTCTGCAGTATGAGAAGGGAAAAAATTGACAGCGGCCTTTATGTCCAAAGTCTTCTAATGCATTAAATACAGTATTTGAGGAGCGATCATTGAAATTTTCTTAGAAGACATTAAGCACTCGTCTTGGGGTATGCTCCTTAATTAGACTGGTATCAATTTCTCCGCTAAATTTAGCGGGAAACTAAATTGGTGTAAAGGACCACCTGACGTCAGGCCGAGTGACATCAATATTTCTTCTAAATTCAGCGGAAAAAAATTAAATACGTTCACATTCCCTGTAATGCCGAATTAGAGCGCAGCTCTTGAGGTGGAGGAGGGGCGGGTACGGGGGGGGGAGGATATTTATTTTTTTCCACTCCGTACACTCCCCACCTCCTCGCCCAGTGCCCTCCCATTTAGTGGGAAATTTACTCAAAATTTCTCCGCTAAATTTAGCGGGGAAATATTGCCGCTAAATGGAAAATTTCACATGATACAACGCGCACGGTTACGCCGACGCCGACGGCGACGCCACTCAACACGGAAACGGGCGCCTAAGAGCTACGCTCTGAAACAATTTATGGATAGGTCTAGTGATGTCGAGTAACGTGACATTAATTTCCCCGTCAAATTTACTGGGAAAATTTAGTTGGTGTGTCACGTGATCTCAATTTATCCGCGAAATTTAGCGGGAAAACTGAATTGGTCTTTAGATGTCGCGACATCAGGTCACGTGACATTAATTTTTACGCTAGATTT